GGCTTTTCAACCAAGAGCCAGAGCTCTCTCAAGGCCCTGGGCCACCTGGCGATCAGTAGAGCGCTCTTGGGTAACATTTTTCTCAACTCCCAATCACCCAAGAGGATGGGCATTGGCTTCTGCTTCTTCCAGTTGCTACATATATCATGGATAAGTGCCCCTGAGGGGACTCCCAGCTCATCAGAACCATTGATAACGAACAGGATTATTTTGTGCTTGGGCTAGGATATCTGGAACAGCATTCTGCAATTCAGGCCAATCTCTGGAGTTGAGCTCTGCAAAAGTGCATGTCCCTTTGTGGTTGAGTTCTTTGCAGCTGAGACAAAAGTCAGGATTAAATATCTTTGTAAGGTTGTCCCTTATCCAGCCCAGCATCAACTTCTTTACCAGTGTGGTTTTCCTAATGTCTGTAGGACCATGTGTGGAAATGGCCCTGCAAGGACTTTAGGATTATAGAATTAGTGTCCTGTATCTCTGGGTGACAATATAGATGTTTTCACTGGCACCAGGCCAAAAGTAGCTCTTAAATTGCTGTTTTTCTTATGCCACCAAGTTTATGGTAATTTGTGACAGGACCCATAATGTAGGAAATAAAGAAATATTTGGTAATTGAGCAGCACACTTCTAAATAACCCTTGCATCAAAGAAAAGCTCCTAAGGAAAATTTAAAAATAAAAAACACATTGAACTGAATGAAAATGAAAACACAATACATACAATTTATGGGATGCAGCTAAAGCAGTGCTTATAAGGAAAGTTTTATAGCTTTAAATGCTTAAAATTAGAATAGAATAAAGAGCTAAAGTTAATAACTAGTTTAAGTTTATCTACTTTAAGAGGCTAAGGAAAAAAATAAACTCAAACCCAAAGAAGGAAATATTAAAGAGAAGAGCAGAAAACAGTGAAATAGCTTAAAGTGAATAGAAAAAAATCAGTGGATCCAAAGTTGATTGTTTGAAAAGATCAACAAACTTGATATGCCTTTGTGTAGAATGACTATACCTATTAAGGTCCAACCATGAGACAGAAACTACATAGTAATTTAAACAGGAAAAATGTAATATAAAAATCATTAACTATAACAGGGGATTCAACTGGGAGAATGAAGATTGATTGGTAAGAAAAAAAAAACACTAAAGAATACAGGAGTGACAGATTTTAAAAGCATCCGCTAATCCCTAGAACTGAGATGGAGCACTCAGAGAAGATAAGGATCTGGTAGACAACCTCTTTTCAGGGCTGAAATCCAGACCTCATTGGAGAGAGTGAAGTCATGTTTTATTGGATGACACAGAAGTTTGCTGTGGCTACACATTAGAACTGTGAAGTTGCCCTCTGGAATGTTGGGGGTAAACTATTCACAGAGAAATGCCAAACAAGTAGCATTTCACTGCAAACTCTAAGGGGTACCAGGGAAACTGTTCATAGGGAGGTACCATGTACTACTGGCCACCGAGGGCTACTGGAATTGGATGTTGCAGAAGCCATGTACTACTCAAACTGTGTTCTGTAGGAAACCATGTATGCTGCTGGAGCCAGGCCCTAAACTGCAGGAGCCTGGTCGGTAGAGTGCACATCTACTGCAGTAGCCTGCCCAAATTTGCACACTGGAACTAGGGAGAGAACCCTTTTTTTCCCTTCAATGATGCTCCAATGCTCTCTACCAACAGAACTTAACGTGGTGCCAGCTGACAAAGAGGAAATATTTACAAGGTCCAACTCCATTATTTCAAAGCAGGCAATGAAGTTTCTATTTGGATATGAGAATCAATAAATTGATAACTGGCATGCTGATTAAGAGAAAAAGAATGAAGACACGAGTTAGCAAATCAGGAATGAATGTAGGGTCACTACAGAGCCTACAATTAAAAGGATTATAAAAGATTATTACGAAGAACTTATGCAACTTAGATGGAAAAGATAAATTCCTAGAAAGATACAAATTACCAAAACTGACTCAAGAAGAAAATAGATAAGTATTGACCTATAAAAAGTGAAGACAATGAATTAGTAATTTAAAATCTTACCACACCTAAAAGTTTAGGCCCTGATAGCTCCATTGAAGAATTCTATCGAAATTTAAGGAAGAAGTAATACTGCTGCAGTTTCTTTCAGAAAATAGTAGAGCAAGAGACATGTCCTAACTTACTCAATTATAAAGCTATTATCTTGATACCAAAGCAAGCCAGAAACATCTTTTAAAAACTGCATTTGCACAGCAAAGGAAACCATAAGGAAGACAAAAAGACAACCTGTGGATTGGGAGAAAATATTTGCAAACAATATGACTGACAAGGGCTTAATTTCCAAAATATACAGGCAACTCACACAACTCAATAACAAAAAACCAAACAACCCAATCCAAAAATGGGCAGAAGACCTAAATAGACATTTTCCCAAAGAATACATACAGATGGGCAGGCACATGGAAAGATGCTCAGCATCACTAATTATCAGAGAAATGCAAATCAAAACTATGATCAGGTACCACCTCACACTGGTTAGAATGGCCATCATTAAAAAGTCTACGAATAACAAATGCTGGAAAGGGTGTGGAAAAGGGAACCCTCCTACACTGTTGATGGGAATGTAAATTGGTGGAGCCGCTATGGAAAACAGTATGGAGGTTGCTTAAAAAACTAAAAACAGAGTTGCCGTATTATCCAGCAATCCCATTCCTGGGCACACATCCAGAGAAAATTCTAATTCAAAAAGATACACGCACCCCAGTGTTTATAGTAGCACTATTTACAATAGCCAAGACATGGAAGCAACCTAAAAGTCCGTCAAAAGATGAATGGAGAATAAAGAGGATAAGCTATAGGCTATGAGAAAGTATTTGTAAGTCACATTGCTGATAAAGGACTTGCATTCGTAATCTATAAAGAACTCTTACAATTCAATAATAAGACATCCCAATTTTAAATGGTCAACAAATCTGAATAGACATTCACTAAAGAAGATACATGAATGGCTAATAAGCATAAAAGATGTTCAACATCGTCAATCATTAGGAAAGTGAAAAAAATACCATGAGATACTAGTACACACCAACAAGAACTGATGTATTCCAGAGGTTGACTGTACCAAGTGTTAGTGAGTACGTGGAAAAAAGAGGAACTTTGTACATTATGGGTGGGAATGTGAAACAGTACAACCTCTTTGAAAAATATTTGGCTGTTTCTTACAAAATTAAGCATGAGGTTTACAACTCAGCCACTCTAGTCTTAAGTATCTTCCCAAGAGAAATGAAAATATTTGTCTACCCAAAGACTTCTATGCAAACACTCATAGCAGCATTAGCCATCATGCAGAGTAAGGAAGAATTTCTTGAATTAAAAAACAAAATGCACCAATCATAATGAAAAATATTGATAAAGTTGATTACCTTAAAAGTAAGAATTTATGTTCAACAAGAGATTAGATAGGCAAGCTACAGAGTGGAAAAGATATTTCTAACACATGTAACCATCAAAAGGCTTAAATTCATAAATTATGTAGAATTCCTCCAAATCAATAAGAAAAAGGTAGCAACAAGACTGTACTGTATAGGACAAGGAATTGCACTCATTATCTTGTTATAACCTATAATGGAATATAACCTGCAATAACACTGAATCACTGTGCTGTACACCTGAGACTAACACAGTATTATAAATCAACTATACTTCAGTTAAAAAAATCAACCCAATATAAAAATGAGCAAAAGATTTGAAAGACATTCTGTGAAAAGGACATTCAAATGTCCAATAAAATGTATTAGAAGTGTCAAGATCGTATTGCAAGAAAGCCATCATGTGGTGTGCAAGATACTGTTTGAGGCTGTCTTTGTAAAATATCATCTGCTACACCCTGACTGCGCTGCTGTTCCTTGGCTTAGTCATTTTCTCCAGCCCCTTAAAATGGACAAATTTCCTTTCTATCTCCCTCCCTCTTTCTCTTCCTCCCTCCCTTGCTTCTTTCCTTCCTACCTTCCTTCCTTCCCTTTCTTTCTTTTTTCAGAAGTGAACCCTGTGGGTTTGGCAAGCTTCTGAGTAAGTGAACCTTTGAAAAAGAGGGTTTGATTCTTAGTAAATGCAGCCAAAATCTAAGTACTCAGAACTGGTGACCAAACAGTGAATTGAAGATGTAGGTACTGGATCTTTCCTGTGCTAGACAAGGTGCACTGAAACAATTCTACAACTCTAGTCTCTTCTCTCGCAGGTAAAGAATCCTGTGAACAAGCTTCTGAAGTCAGTGAAGCACAAACTACAGACAGTGATGAAATAATAACACCTGTATCTCAGAAACACCCTAAGGCAGTAAGTACTTGGGGTAATCACAGAGTGTACTCACAGTGTAAGTAATGACAATGGGCTAAATGACCATGTGTGTGAAGTTCAAATCCAGTTTTAATGAACCAGATGGGAAATTCAAGTTATTTAGTTACATTTACATCATGAGTGAATGGAAGTCTGTTGATAGAGACAGAGGAAAGGATCATGTTCTTGATTTGCTGTAAATGAGGACTTACTTCAACACTTCTCTGTCCTATTTGGATCCCTTCATTGTGCTCTGTGATTTGCCCCAGCCTGAGTGATGCCCCTTTCTTCAGGTCTCCCGAAAGAGACCAGATTTACATCAAGAGGTAGAGACTGGAAGAGAGGAAAGGATTCTTGGTGGGAGGTCTTAGAGAGATCATTCAGTTTCTGAAAGTTTTTACCAAACCTTTAAAACCTGTAATTACAATTGTTTATTAAACATTTGGGCCTTGGTTTTCTTTTGGAACTAATTGAGGACACACACAAATACATAAATAAATATCCACCGATAGATTCACAATCATTGCATTGGAATCTTGTGGAGTTATAAATGAGGTAGAAAATAATCACTCTTTCAAACTGCTAGAATGCTCCCTTGGTACATTTGCAGGCACTGAATAAATTTGTTGAGTGGGTGAATGAAGATTAAAATCTAATTCAGGATTGTGAACTTCATTAGAAACAATTAAAGTATAGGGTGACCTAGAATCAGATGAGTCGATTATGTGATATAAATGCTCAAGTTTGTAAGAATTCAGAAAAGGGAAATTGTTGTTGCTTTTATAGAAATCAGGAAACTCTTCCTTGAAAGTCATAACTTGGGCTGAGGACTTGCAGGAAAATAAAGGATACTGGAGCAGGGAGGAACAAGTCAAAGTCCGTAGACTCAAGCAGCTAATATAGCAAATAGTTAAGGTTATCTTCTGAACTTTTATCTGTCATATCTTTTATAGACATTATGTAATTAATATCTTGAGAAATGTTTGTAAGAAGAGTTCCATAGACTATTAGAACTAGACGGTAACACCTTAGACATCATCAAGGTGAAGTGATGTGTCCAAGCTTATAGAGATACTTAGTGAAGGAGCTAGAACTTGAGTCAAGATTTCTAAACCATGCATCTCAGATGAACCCAAAAAGCAGCCAGCTGGTCAGCATGTTTTAGAACTACATGCCAGATAGATGACATTAAAAATATTACTCTAAATTTAAAGGCTCTTAAATAAGATCTGTTAGAAAACCTTTGTGTACCCCCAAAATGCTACTTGATAAGCTAGATATGAAAACTGAGCCCAGTTAGTGAAAAATTACATAATTATCAAATTAAACCTACCACACAGACACATAATCATTTTTGTATTTCAAAATAGCTGGGCATGAAAAGATGGAAAGGGTTGAAGTTCCAGAGACTTAAGCTCTGTCCCTTTTCTGCCTGGAGCCAGCCAGGGTGATGGAGGCGGCAGGAGAGTGTGGTGTTTAAAAGCGAGGAAATGTGGTTCAGACAGAAGTGTTTAGATCCTGGCTCTGCTGTTAATATCTGTGCAGCTTTGGGGGCATTATTTAACCTCTATTAGACTTTGTTTCCTCATCTGTAAAGTGGTAGTATTAATTATGCCCACCTCATAGCAATGTGGCAAGATTTAAATAAGGTCATGTGTGAGAGGGGCTTAACAAAGTGCCGAAGACAAATTCAGCACTAAATGATAGTGATGATGATGTTGATGGTGGCAATAGTCTGTCCTCTCTGAAACAGTCTAGTTCTATGATCTTGTAGTGGCCCCTACAAGGAAGGACTAGGTCCTAAGGGGAGGGGATCAAGGCAAAGGGGTGTCATTCCCTTCTACCTGCCAGGTCAATTGAATAGGTCGAACAGTACAACTTAAGGAAGACCCGTCCAAAATGTCTTCCCCCTTGTACTGCTAAAAAAGTGAAGCAATCACAATACATTCTTAACTCCCTCTCTGTGAGTCCAGAATTAGGACACTTCCTGTGTTCACGGGGTGTGTGTAGGACTGCTCCCCAGGAGGCTCTGTCTGTAATCAGCACAAGTTTTCTAAAGGCCCTCTGTACTTATCTTCTAAAAATACCCAGGAAAAGATCTCAACTCAAACCCCATGGTTTCCCCCAGATGAAGCTCCATCCATTCCTGGTCTCAGGAACTAATCTCCCACTCTGAGTGAACCATATAAAACTTTTCCCTCCCCTTCTTAACAGCTCCTGATGAGAAGGGAGCAATCATTTCCATGTGTTCTGTGGCTTCAGGTTACTGTTGTTTAGTATCAAGAACCTCAAAGTTTATTCTCTTTTCTTGTGCTCTTAATTTCAGGGTAGATGATATTCTGAATTGTTATGTATGCTAATTAGTTTTAGCAACTCTGCCCCCGAGACAGATTAGCTAGCACACCTGAATAAGCCAAAGAGAACTGTCTATCTGGCACTAATGCTGCATAACTAATTGCTCGTAGGGGTTCAGCTGGCAAGTTCAAATGAGTTAATGTATATTTCAGTTGTAAATATGGTTAATATTACTAATTTTATATATATTTTGCTGTTCAGTCCCAATAAAATTATATAATGGAAACAGCTCATGTAAAGGATTCTGAACCCCTCAAAATATTAGATTGAACCATGTCTCAGTCAATTCAGGCTTCTATAACAAAGTACCATAGGTTTGGTGGATTATAAACAACAGAAATTTACTTCTCAAAGTTCTCAAGGCCGAGGTGAGAGAGTGTCAGCATGGTCAGATTCTGGTGAGGGCCCTTTTCCAGACTGTAGACTGCCAACTTCTCATTGTGTCCTTTATGGCAGAAAGAGAGGAAGCTAACCCTCTGACCTCTTACAAGGGCACTAATCTCTTCCATGAGGGCTCCACCCTCATGACCTAATCACTTCCCAAAGGCTCCCACCTCCCAATGCCATTATATTGAGATTTGAATTTCAACATATAAATTCTAAGGGGGACAAAAACATTCAGTCCATAACAAACCATATGAAATTGTCATTTTTATGAATAAAAAATAGTGGACTATTGTCAGTTTCAGATGGTTCAATCTAATAGGAATGAATAAAGCCTCCATGTGTACCTGGCTCAAATGTTAATCTAACTCAACCTCCTAATTCACCTTTGTTATCAGAATAAACTTGAAATAGCCTGCATAAATACAGATTTCTGATTATTTGTCCCAGGATGAGTTGCAACTAAGGCAAGAATACGTTTTTCTTTTGGCAATGAGAATATTATAGATAAAGCTACATCTCTAAGGCTTACCGACAGTCCCTGCTGTCTCTTCCCCCCACCCCATGAAAACCATTGTCGTGAATTCTAGGGTTTATCTTTTCAAATCTTTTTTATACCCTCCCCCTATCTTTTCAAGTCTTAAGAAAAAAAGAACTTTTCTTTAACATTCATACTGTTTTGTATTTGTCTTTTTTGCTTTCAGATAGATGGCATTAAACTGTAACTGAGCTGTATATATTACTGTTTTTTTAACTTTTTATTTTGAAGTATTTATTGATTTGTAAGCAGCTGCAAAAAAATGCAGAGAGGTATCATGTACTCTTCATCAACTTCCTCCATTTCTTCAAAACATTTTTTGGTCTGTTATTCCAAAAAGTGCATTTTTATTTTTTTTAAATTTTTCCTTTTTCATTGAGGTATAGTTGATGTACAATATTATATGTTTCATATGCACAATATAGTGATTCACAATTTCTAAAGGTTATATTCCATTTATAGTTATTATTTAAAATGGTCATATTTCCTGTTTTGTACAATATATCCCTGGAGCTTATTTTACACACAGTAGCTTGTAGACAGATCTTAATTTTCTACCCCTATCTTGCTCCTTCCCTTTCCCACTACCCACTGGTAACCACTAGTTTGTACTCTGTATCTGTGAGTTTGCTTCTTTTTTGTTATATTCACTAGTTTGTTGTATATTTAAGATCCTACATATAAGTGATATCATACAGTATTTGTCTTTCTCTATATGACTTATTTCACTAAGCATAATACCATCCAAGTCCATCCCATGTTGTTGCAGATGGCAAAGTTTCATTCTTTGTTAATGGCTGAGTAGTATTTTGTGTGTGAGTATATATATGCATATACATACCACATCTTTATCCATTCATTGTTGATGGACACTTAGGTTGCTTCCATATCTTCGCAATTGTAAATAGTGCTGCTGTGAACATTGAGGTGCATGTATCTTTTTGAATTAGCATTTTTGTTTTTTCAGATATATACCCAGGAGTGAAATTGTTCGGTTATATGGTAGTTACATTTTTAGTTTTTTTGAGAAACCTCCAAACTGTTCTCTTCAGTGGCTGCACCAACTTACATTCCCATCAACAGTGTACAAGCATTCCCTTTTCTTCACATCCTTGCCAACATTTGTTATTTGTGTTCTTTTTGATGATAGCCATTCTGAAAGGTGTGAGGTGATATCTCATTGTTTTGATTTGCATTTCCCTATGATTACTGATGTTGAGCAGCTTTT